GGGGGGGGCATATCCTCCTAAGTTAACTACTAGAGAATAAAAAGGGATGATATAATATCTCAATTATCAACAACTTCATTAGGCTTGCGGCTGTCCTTTGTAAAAGAAAATCGTTTCAGTAATGATAAGACTTCCCAGTGGTACTGCGGTATGTCTGCGGAATTATAACGCTAGAAATCGGGTTTCGATATTCGTGGTGGGCAGAGCACAGATAGCCCATTGTGTAGCTTTGTGCTTAACTTCAAACAAAATCTAATGATAAGCAGAATGAATGCTGCTGGATTCCTTCTTGGTGACACAAATAGCCGTTCGCAAATATCTGAAATAATGACCCTAACACATCATGCAAACTGTTTTTCTTTCTTTTCTTATACGTTAACCAAAAAACATTAAGTATAATGTTTGTTTAACCGTACTATTTCATCTGCCATTTCTCAAATGTTGAGTTACTGTAGCTATTTTGTAAAATAAGTCGATGAGAAATAGTAACTTGTAATCAGTTTTTGGTATTATATTTTATTTCCATTGTTAGCTACATTTTCAGGCTATGTGATATATTCTCGATATATACTGTAATGTCGTTTTATTCAACTTCTCGACAATAACAGCTCCTCAAGTATGTCCGGCTCCCATTAGTCAGAAGAGAATTTCTTTTAAGAAAGGTAGGAGAAGAACCACTAGTTCGAGAGAGTCAGAAGACAAAAGATCTCTTGATCGAGGCTATGAAGTACCATCTCATGCCGGAACATCGAAGTACCATGACGGGAGTAAGAACAACTTACCGAAGACCAGAAGGACTGAAAACTTATCTGTTTGCTATAGGTATGATTATCTTTCAGTTTGATTGTTTAAGCCACATGTATTTGGAGTGACTTGTAACTTCATTAGTTCGTCAGAGTGTGTATTGACTAACTACAATTTGAATAACGCTTTCAAAGTTAGTCAATAACAATCTTAACTTAGTAAAAAGTTGGCAATGAAAGGAATGGAATTTCAAACATAAGTAACTCATCTTATAGTGGTATGACGAGTTACCTTACACAAACCAAAAATAGGTGGGCAAATAAAAGTGAATTAAAGTTATAGCAGTCATTACTGTTATCGACACACCTATCCAACTGTTAACACTACTGTAAAACATAATATAATAAAAGTGATTTAAAATTATAACAGTCATTACTGTTATCGACACACCTATCCAACTGTTAACACTTCTGTAAAACATAATATAATAAAATGATTTAAAATTATAACAGTCATTACTGTTATCGACACACCTATCCAACTGTTAACACTTTTGTAAAACATATTCTAATAAAAGTGATTTAAAGTTATAACAGTCATTACTGTTATCGACACACCTATCCAACTGTCAACACTACTGTAAAACATATTCTAATAAAAGTGATTTAAAGTTATAACAGTCATTACTGTTATTGACGCACTTATCCAACTGTTGACACTTCTGTAAAACATATTCTAACAGTAATTAACACTCGTTCATTTATGTCAACCATTACCTTGTGTGGAACACATACTACAACTGTTTTGAGCTCTGGAAATAACAATTCAGTCATTTCCAATTCGAAAACTTTGTTTATTTTGACATTGTGGATACATTAGGTGCTTTCTGGCACACAGTGTTTTAAATGTTGCGTTAAAATAATATTTCACTATGAAATATATTGTTACGACATCGGGGTCACGTGATGCTAGTAACATGTCATTGACTTCTAGAAATATCCTGTTCCTTCATGAATGCCCTAGCGTTTACTAGATATGTGTTAGTCTTGTATATATAAGACGGTCACAATGTGACGGAATAATAAGTAATGAGCACGTGAGACGTTCGTTTGAATTATAGCGTTTGTTATAGTGCGACTGTTGAAATTAAGTGTATCGCAAAGTTATATTCAGAAAGAATAAACCAGTTTTATTTAAGAAAGGACTTGCGTCGCTAAAGTTTCGTCGGAACGAATTTACGGAAAATTAACGAACGAACGGAGACGTAACAAATTGGTGTCAGAGAGTGGAATAAAAAAAAATGGAAACGAGAAGCGGCAAATCAAACTACAGCCTAGCAGACTTGATGGCAGCAATACAAGAGCAGCAAAAGAAACAAGAAGAACGAGAAAAGAAACAAGAAGAAATATTACAGCAGTGGCAAGAAAACCTACAACAATGGCAGCTCGAACAGCAAAATAAACAAGAGAGATTAAAGCAGTTGTTGGAGGAAAAAGAAACAAGAAGAGAGACTACAGCAGTGGTTGGAGGAGAAAGAAAATAAACAAGAAGAGAAATTACAACAGTTGTTGGAGGAGAAAGAAAATAAACAAGAAGAGAAATTACAGCAGTTGTTGGGGGAAAAAGAAAAGAAACAAGAAGAGAGACTACAGCAGTGGCAACTGGAACAAGAAAGCAAACAAGAAGTACAAACGGAAAACATTAGTAAATTCAAAAGCGAATTAGATACGTTAAAG